ATGGATGGAAATGCATCGCCTGACAAATGTTGTTTTTCTGTAGCTGTTTACAGGTTTAGGTTGACCGTAATGCATTGCTTTGTAGTATATAGACAAAATACTGAAATTTATCCGTTTGAACATAAAACACCCCTAGCCAGTTTGATCTAAGGCCCCTGATTAAAGTTTCTGTCTACGTAGCTTTTTTTAGCATTGCTACCCTCCTTTGAAGACCCATTGAAGGAGAAACACTGTGTCATGTGACAAAAGGGTCAGGGGTCAATATGATCTATCACTGAAATGCTTCACAACAGCCAAGTCAGTGTCTGTAACCTTGTATGCAGCAGATGTAGACTCATTAACTAGGACACACACGGTGTTTGATTGGGAGTGTTTGCAGAATGGTTGGGATCTGCAAAGAAAATGGAGTCAAACGGAAGAGAAAATGGAGAAATGGGTACAATTCAGGCAAATTTGCTGATCTAGCATGTATGTTAAAAATTACAGAAACCACATGTTAATAATTCAAGTTATGCTAATTCAAATTGACTGTTAATTGTAGGCTTCTGTAAAAAACACCTGGAGAGCAGTTTGTAAGGTTCTGCATGTTAATCTCGACTGGTTTTCTTTAAATTCTCTTAATTAAGCCTCATTGTGTTATGTATGGATAATAGGGGTGTCTGTCCATGTGATCAGGCATCTCTCCCTGATTGGCTGCCGCATCCTTAGGAGACGCAGAGTTTCTGGCCATTAGCGTTTGCAGACCCGATGTCTGTGCTTAGCTGGTGCTGCTACAGAGAAGCTAGATCCTTCTCTGTCTTCACAGAGCGGTCCTGAAATCCGATCCCTGTGCTCTCTGCTAATACTCTCCCCTTTTCTTGTGTGTTGCTAATTGCTAATTGTTAGCCAGAACATCCTTTTGTGTCAACAGTGACCTCCCCCCGCTATTGTTGCCATACAGTACAGGCCACCCTCATGCCCCCCAAGAAGCAAAGCCAAATCCCACACAATTTAAATGTTAATTCCTGCAGGCTTTAGAAGTCTCCTACCGCCCATTTAGCGTGCCTGCGTGAGGCGTTGCCATGCTAAGTCCTTCCCTGCTAATTGCTTTCAGTAGCTGATCGTAGACCGTCTCTGTGCCATTTCCTCAGGCACTCGCAGTAAATAAAGAGTAAGATTTCAGCTATTGACCTAAAGTCTCTGTCAGTAGACAAACACATAGAGAAACCACAGCATTTCTGCTGTGCTTCTTCACTGGAGTTTGTTGCTTCTTGCCCAGTTTTGAACCAGTGAGCTAGCTGTCCGTCATTTTGCTGCCTTCTCCATCTGATCTCTGCCGGACGGCTTCCCTGACAGGGACTCGCATGGCACCTGCTGTGGAGTTTGTGTGCTGACCTTTCACCTTTGCCATGTGATTCCTCTCAGAAGTGCAGAGGGGGATGCAAGTGAAGCTGAATTTTCTGGCATTCTGAGCCTCGGGCAAAAGATGTCTGTCAGTGATTCAGCCTCTTTCTCTCGGCCAACCGCTTCTTGGTCGTTTGTCTTTCTTCCCAAGAACCAAAAGGCGCGAGGACGGCCACGATTCAGCACGTGTCTGTCACGCGTCCGCCACATCCCCTGTGAACGAGAGCTGCTTTGCATAACATGAAAAGGTAGGGTAGACATAAAGGTCACTGCTAGCTAGAGTGCGACCTCCCCATCCCCCCACCACCAAACCGAAAGTTGCCATTCCTCCGTGACAGGCCGGTGTTAATTAGAGGGAGCACCCGTCCTGCGGGTCAGGAGCCGCTGACTGGCAGCCCCGTGGTCTCAGGGAGAGACAGTGTTCAGACTGGGAGCAGATGCCTGCTTTCTTTGCTGGTTCACACAAGCCTTTACAATGCAGGTTACTCTCCTTGACTGTCAGGGCCTCCTGCTGCTCAATCAGTTTTTCATCTCCTGGTTCTCTTGCCATTGCCACATCACACCCTGGGTATTTAACTTTCTACAAGCCAAGATGTATTTGTCCTTCAGATACACTTTGTATGTAATGAGTTTAATAACATGTTATGTCAAATTAAAGCTTGGAAAAAGAGTCTTAGGATCAGTATTACACATACTGCTGAGTTAAACTTTAGGATAATGACAATTTGGGTGTGTCCCTCAGGCCAAAGCTGCTTTTTTATTTCATCCTGTGTTGACCGGCTGGGGTGTCCAACCATGCACTTTCCCTAAGTTTGGTATATTTCACTTTTTGTGTATTCCAGCTCTCGATCATGTGATTGGTCAGGAGTGGCGCTGTCCTCTTTTTCCCGGCACACTGGGTACCATAAGTGTTTCAAAACATGATGACATTAAAGGATATCATAATTAGGGCTGTGAGGCATGTTTCCCTCTCTTTAGCCGCCCGCCCTTGGCTTTCTGTTGGCCCCTTTCTGTTGTGCTTGCCCCCTTTGTGCTTGCTGAGGCGTGACGCACAGAGCTTTGAGACGCAAACCAGCCCGCGGCAGCCTTTGCGGGCCATTCTCAGTCACCATGGCGCTGTGGCCCATCTGCTCTGCAGTTTACCGGGAGGGGGGGGGGGGGGGGCAGCGCTGGGTAGGTCACCGAGGGTGGGGGGGACTTCTTGGGGTGACTTAGATGTCACTAAGTCCTCCGACAGCAGGAATAAAAGCAAACTTCTTAGCTGAGCCCAAATCCCTCTCTGCACACCAAAGCTTCATCCTGTGGAGGAAGACGAGGATTATGCCATTTTTAAGATTTTAAACAGCTTTTTTTCCCCAACCCCACCCTTTAGTTCAGACTGAAAAGTGCGACGCACTGCGGAATGTGGGCTGTTACCGTGGCGATTAGAACGGTTCCTTGCAGTGCTGACACCTAGTCAGGGATGACGGGTCGTCGGAATAAGACGGGCATGGGGGTGAAACCCACATCATACATGCCACTCTCCCCCAGCCGTGCAAAGCGTCCTCTGCATTTTTAGTTTAAAAAAAAAAAAAAAAAAAAACTAATTGGTCGCTAATATTTTCCGACACGCTTTGTGCTGGGTCAGGGAGCTCAGGATTAATGGAGGTTCCTGATGATGAAATGCAGTTTTAAATAAGGAGAAGATTATCTTCACTGCCTGTACACTTAATTAATCAATCAAGCGTGGTGTCCGCTCTGGACGTGCAGGGAAAACTTGTTCATATTGAGCTCCTTTAATGTAATATTCCTATTATTTTTTTTTTAAATGTATGAAATGTTAAGGAGCTCCGGAGATGCTTTTGCGGATGTTCCCTGCAGAGACATCTTTTTGCAGACTGCTGGAGGTTGTGGTTGTGTAAGCCTCAATCTGACAGGCAGATGGGAGGGGGGTGTAATTTAGCTGAGGGCTTAATATCATCACGCAGCCCCCACCCTCACTGTCAGTCCAGTAAAGCCAGTGAGCACGTGCAATGGGATGGGGGGGGCGATGTGGCCTTGCTGGGGAGGGTGAAGGACACCCATGGGGGGATGCTGGATGACTTTGTAAGGCTGCTGTCTTCTAGGCTTTCTATAATGAGGAGTTTGACCAACAGTGGGGCTGGAACCCCAAGATACGCCCAGTTCCTGCACCCCCAGCTCTCCCTTCCTCTCTCCGTCACACGTGGGGTTCTCTGACTGATTGTGATACTGATCGTCTGGTCCGTCATTCTGGAACATTCTCCACGAGCCCCAGCTGACTTAGGCTGAGCCGAGTGGAGCTCTGCCACCTTGTGGTGGTCAGTGGTATTGCATATTGCATCAGCATCCCAGCAGACTTTTGGTCTGGCCACTTCTCATTTGTAGGAGGTCACTGTGGTGTTTGGGGGATGGGGGTTGTGTAGTGGGTTAGGGGTTCCTCCCCTCTAAGAAGTGTGCTGGCTTTGACTGCCCTGGCGGACCTCAGGCTCTCAGCGCTGTGTAATTTGGGTCTGAGCTGTGTACTGCACGCCGTTTTCCTCCCTGCGTTCTGAGCCGAGCAGCTCGTGTCACAGCCAGATGAGGGGACATGCCCCCCCCCCAAGCCCAGGCTGCCCCGCCCTGCCCCTTTTCATGAGGCACCAGAGCTTGCTGGAAGCCCCTCATTACGGCCTCCATGATGCCCCCCCCACTCCTTTCCCTAGCCCTGCGGGTTTGGGAGGGTCGTACTGCTGCGGTAAGGCGGCGCACCACGAGCCTGCAGGTGGCGCTGTTTGGTGCACTGAGAATCCCTCACACGTGCTGTCCCAGGCCGGGGGAATCCGAAGGGAAGACAGGCAGCGGGTTGGGGTGGCGGTATGTGGGCTGTTATCTCCAGTTCTTGCCTCCATGTTGCCAAGGGCGACTCGTCTTGTCAAGTCTGGGAGCCTTAAATAAAACATTTTGTTGCTCTCACTGAAAATCTGCTTTAGTCCCTGAAGGTGGAGACAATGTGCCTGTCTGTCTGCCTGCCTGCCTGCCTGCCTGTCTGTCTGTCTGTCAGCCTGCCTGCCTGCCTGCCTGTCTGTCTGTCTGTCTGTCAGCCTGCCTGCCTGTCTGTCTCTCTGCCTGTCTGCCTGCCTGCCTGCCTGTATGTCTGTCAGTCTGCCTGCCTGCCTGTCTGTCAATGTGTGTGTGTATGTGTGTTTGCACATTGTCAGAGTATTTGCTGTGTTCCATGTCTTCAAATCATCCTCTCATGCTATATACCACATTAGATCAGTGTCCCTGATCCAACTCTCTCTCTCTCTCTCTCTCTCTCTCTCTCTCAATCTGTCTCTCTGTAACACACACACACACACACACAATGCTCTTTGACACGAAAGTCTGTTAGAAGCCTTGGTCATTAAAGAGAACATTGTTTGGGTTTCTCAGGGGGGCATGGAGGCTAAATGAGAAGTTAATTAAAATGGAAACAAAGCTGGGGCAGCGTAAAATAAACCACTGCAGCTACGGTGCTGCGAACAGCGTTTCCGGATCTTTCTGGAGGAGGTGGCATTCCTGTTGGCGCCTCCTGGCTGTGAGTGTGTGTCACTGCTCCGACGCCATGTCCTGATGGCCTGTGTGTGTCCCCCCCCCAGATGACCAGGCAGAGCAGCGCACGTGCCTCATCTGCGGTGACCGCGCCACAGGCCTGCACTATGGAATCATCTCCTGCGAGGGCTGCAAGGGCTTCTTCAAGCGCAGCATCTGCAACAAGCGCGTCTACCGCTGCAGCCGCGACCGCAACTGCGAGATGTCGCGCAAGCAGCGCAACCGCTGCCAGTACTGCCGTCTGCTCAAGTGCCTGCAGATGGGCATGAACCGCAAAGGTGAGGTGATCCTCAGCCAGGGGGGGGGAATGGCCAGCCGGCCGCCTGCACACACCATGTACTTAATATATACAATTATATTTGTTTTTAATTTTTTTTTTAATCTTTAGAGCTAAAAAGTAGAATTTTAAAAGAAAAGGGTCTTTATTTTGTTTATATTTTAAACACGCACACACACACACACACACACACACACACACACACACACACACTGCCCATCGCGCCGAGGTCTGTAATGCAGACTGGCAGACTGACTTCACGGTCTTTCCGTCGCCTCTGAATGTCACCCTGCACTCCTCGCCAGCCTCGTCACTGGCACCAGGGGGTGTGTGGGGCGCGTGAGTGTGACGAAACCTGACAGGCCGCTGCTCCAAATAGAGCCACAGCCGGGGGGCGCTGTGCTGTTTCTCAGTGGCTTGTATGTGTCACAGAGCCGCAAGGGCCCCCCCCCAACCGCTGCTTGTCAGGCCGACTGACTGTGGCCCACTTATACCAACCCCACCCCCCAGCAAGTGCATGGAGCTCAAACGGAGCCCCTGGTTAAGTGCTCTCCCCTGTCGTTCCCACCTGCAGAAGAATCGTTGCCTTTTTTTGTATTTTGTTAAAAGCCGCAGTCCTGAGGTCACATGCCCTTCAGCCTTCTTCATTGCTGCTCCTCTTCCTTACTGTGGACCATTTCCACGGTCGACTTATGAAGATTGCACTGGAACCGTATCAGATTCTGACTCAGTCTGTGCCTTTCCTATTTTTTGTTTCCTACAGGGTATTTTTCCCAGTTGTTAATTCAGCTGCCTGCTGTGTGATAAACTGCACACTGAACTGATCCATCCAACCAACCAACCATTTACAGAGAGTTTTTGCAGCTAGCGGTTTGTCTGTGTGTGGTGCCCTCTGCTGGAAGTAGCATGTAACTTCAACCTGTGGACCTATTCCCCTTGCAGACCCAGCTGATCATTTTTAAAAACCAGATCACACCACTAGGGGGAGCCTTGTCTACAGCAGGGATGCTCCTTTCCCTATGACATTTGGTCCAGGACATACCCAGCCTCCTCCTGAACTGCTCTGGAATGACAGGTGTGGCGGTTAATCTTTCTCTCTCTCTCTCTGTTCCTCCGTCTTGCAGCAATCAGAGAGGATGGGATGCCTGGGGGTCGGAATAAAAGCATCGGGCCTGTTCAGGTATGTGTCCTGCTTGCACAGCGTTTGGGTCAGTCATCGTCTGCATCAGTGTCTGCATGTTTCCTCCGAAAGTCTGGAGTGGTGATACCTCCCCCCTCCCCCACTTCTGTCCTCAACTCTTTTGAGTGGAACAAAGGATTCAGAAAATAATTCATTTATTAAAAACCATTTTCACTTGCGGAGCGGTAAGCATGGGGTCTTCTACGGATTCAGGTTTGGTGGCACCATGACCAAGTCGGCCTGCCTCTGCTGCCGTTCCTCGCTATGAAAGCTGTTTTTCTCTTTTTCACCGAGCACTTCCAGAGAGCCGCCACCTCCTTTTATTTTATTTTTAGACAGTACCCAGCAGCGGCTGGAAAGGAAAACACAGCTTTATTGACAAATCCAGCCTTTTGTTTACAGAACAACAGCGATAAAAGTCAAGCAAGGTCGGTCACATCTCCCGCAAGGCCCCTCCGTGCCGATTAGCGCGGGCGGCAGCCGTTTGTCATCCCGCCTTTGTTTACCGCCCCACCGAGTGCTGAATGGAGGGCACCGTTAATGCACCGTACACTCTATGGGTCTTTTTGGGAATGATGGGAAATGGTCAATGTTGACATAATAATCACTTCGACGGCAGAGAGAAATTGGCGGAGCCCCCAACAAAGGTGATCTCTCTTGAATGGCATGCCGCGTCCAGGATTCTCCCGCCCCTCGTCGCCCATGTATTCTTCTGCCGTATGAATGCCTGTCAGTGCAGATGGGGGTGAGGCAGGCTTGGGGCGGGGGGGATTTTTAAATCCTGTTTCAGCAAGGATGGATTTTTGTTATTCCAGAGTGTTTTCAAAGCAGCTTTTGAAAATGTCCCCCGAGCGGCAGGGCCGAAGGAGCACGAATGTTGCCTGCGGACACTCGTCTCCATGGCCACCCTTGCGATCAGAACTGACATCCTTGCGCCTTGCTGGAGATGTGGTCACCCCTTCGCTCGTTTTCATTTTGGTGCCTAGCTGACTCATTGCGTCTACTTGGAACCTGTAAAGAGCAGCTTGAAGTAGCCTTTCCTCGAGGCTGCAAGGACTATGTGGCATTACCACATCACTGCCTGGATTTTTTTTTGGAAAACACACAAAGACTTCGTGTATTAAAAGATTGTATTGTATTTGCTGCCTATTTATAATGGAAAATTAATACCGCCATGTTTCTACCTCATCAAGCATGAGGTAGACGTTGAGTTGTATTACTGAAGCATGACGTTGAGCTAGTCAAGGATGATGTTGATGTTGACTTAGTGAGTGCTCAAAAATCATTTGTCTATCATCTGCTTCTTCCTCTTCGGGGCTCAAATGTTGTCGAGTGACATTTCGAGGTTCCTCGAGGAGGCCGCTAGAGTCACGGTAGGACACGTCACCTTAGAGAATGTGGGACCCTGACAGATCCCCTATTTGTCAAAACATGAGCCAGTTTTTGGTGTCTGGCAATGCAGTGAGGAGTGCAGGCACCCTTCTGCTGGAGAGGTCAGGCTCACTTTCTGGTACCTCAGCTTTTGAGCTCTGCTCTGGGACCTCTCTGTACCAGCCCTTGAGCTCCTGCAGAGGAACACTATGGAGTTGGGGGTTGTTCCTGGAGTACATCTGTGTACTTCTGGGTGTGCACCTTCTCTTACAGAAATGCCTGATCCTGACCTGAGAACATGCTGGACAGTGTTCATCTAACCCTAACCCTATCCCACCTGCTCTTCACCCTCCCCAGATCTCGGATGAGGAGATTGAGCGGATCATGTCTGGCCAGGAGTTCAAGGAGGAAGCCAGCCTACCGGAGCACACCTGGAGCAACAACGGCGACAGCGACCACAGTTCCCCCAGCAACGGCGTATCTGAGGGCAACCAGCCCTCGCCGGCCTCCACCTTGTCGTCGAAGTGAGTAGCCCCCTCATTGGCCTAGCTGGGGGGCTGTGCTGTCTTTGAAACAAGCAAATGTAGCTCAGGGTCTATAAGCAGTGAGACAATATCCAAAATCTCATCAGGCAAAACCAGTGACATAGTCAGAATAGTTTTATTTATAAAACAAAGGAATTGGAAAGAAATGGTCTGAAAAAGTCTAAGTAAAGACTGGACCATGACTGAGACGGTTTGTGTTAAAAGATGATCAGGCTGGTAGACTCCGGAAAGAATCGTCGTCTTTGTGTCCACGCAGCCGCTCTCTGGAGATGAATGGCTACTCATCGGCGCTCCGGGAACAATACATGGGCACACCGGTGGCACCGCACTACCCGTTCCTGCCGCACCTCTTCGGCTACGCTGCAGCGGCGCAGTCGGGCCTGCTGCCACCCCAGCCCCGTAACCTGTACCCCCAGTCGCAAACACTCATCTCCCAGCTGGTGGCCGCTGAGGAAATGGCACCCCTGGGAACCCCCATGCTCATCGAAGACGGGTGAGCAGCCTGCACATCCCACCAAACCCAACCGAGCAGCCTGCACATCCTACCAAACCCAACCGAGCAGCCTGCACATCCCACCAAACCCAACCACACTGAACTGCACCAAGTCACACGCAGACATCTAGTCGATTGGATGATGGGAGTGCTTGATGATGATCTCTTGATGGATGGATGGATGGATGGATGGATGTATTTTACTGATCCCAGGGGTAAACAAAGCACTACAGATTCAAACGCTGCAAAGCTGAAGACGCTGATGAAGATGACCGGTTGTCTTCCTCCTCTCGACTCCTCCCATGTTTTGACTTGTGCTGTTAGTCAGACACACTTTCCTGTTGTATATCTATTTTCCTCCTGTCCTTCGTTTCTCTATTCTTCTCTTCGCTCCACCCTCTCGTCCTGCTTGTCGATTGCCCCACACCATGTGGGGTATCAGTCCATCCACGTCCCCTGGCCAAAGCCTGTGGCTGGTGGTGTTGACCCAGTTGTCCCCTCTTGGCAGATACAAGGTGACGCAGGTGGAGCTCTTCGCCCTGCTCTGCCGGCTGGCAGACGAGCTGCTCTTCCGGCAGATCTCCTGGGTGAAGCGACTGCCTTTTTTCTGCGAGCTTTCCATCGAGGACTATACCTGCCTGTTGAGCGCCACCTGGCAGGAGCTGCTGCTGCTCTCCTGCCTGACCATCTACAGCGGCCAGGTCTTCGGCGACCTGGCCGACGTCACCGCCAAGTACACGCCGTCCGACGACGAGCTGCAGGGGTGAGGGTGTGACCCCGCTTGGGGGGGGGGATCCTTTCATCTGCTCCACCCAGAGCCAGAGAAACTGTGGGGGGGTGGGTGGGGGGGGGGGCACCATCTCATGATTCTCTCATCTCTCCTGCATGCTGAAAACATTCTGATGACATTAACGGTAGAGTTATGGCTGCGTTCACTTTGACCGTTCAGCCGCTGAGGGCAGGAAGGTCCGAACAGGAATGGGAGCCCCCCTTCCGCAGCACGGCGGGCCCTCACACAGCCGGATGCGCTCTTTCCCTCTTCCCACTGAGGTGGAGTTTATTGATCTTGGTCCGGTGCCAGGTTCCATTAGTGAGGAGACCCACCGGACTGTGACTATCACCCTGTGGGAAATGCTAAAGGCTCCTGTTCCGTATCGTGGGTTTCAGAAGCAGGGGTGCCGGCTTTGGGCTCCACCATGGTGTAAATTAGCCCCCTCCCCCGATTCCCCTGTCTCCTTTTCAGTGGGATTTATTGTCCTGCCGCGGTTCATGCCCACCCGGGACATGCAAAGGGCCGCTGATTTACTGGTGCTTTGCTTCACAGCGCAGGCAGTGACCCAAACTGCCATTACCACGACGAAGAAAAATCTCTTCGGTTAAAACTTAATCAAAAATTCATGAGGTGGTCGTGTTGGGGGGGGGGGTCACTCTGGTTTTGTTTGGTACCAACTCTGCAGCATCCTGGTCTATATCTGATCATTCTGAGGTCTGCTACCTGTCCATGATTACATCACTCTTATTTCCTGTAGACGTCCATCCTGTCCTGCCATCGTTCCCACCCTGCCCCCCTCCCCCCCACTTCATTCTCTACAGGAAATGTTTTCTGTATGATGTCATGGTGGGGGGGGGGGGCAGTTACCTGTTCATCCTTTAAAGATGCAGCTGGATTCAGCCCCAGCTGGGTACTGCTGTTTGACCTTGGGTCTATAAGAGTCTTTCTTGTCCCTTGTCCTTAAGGATGGTGGTTTTGGTGCGGAAGCTGATTATCCTGCCAAGCTGAACAGGATTAAATCCAACCAGGCCCCGTAGCACTGGAAGTAGGGGTGCTGATGGTGTTTCATCGCCCCCTCTGGTTGCTGGTGTTAATGCAGCGTCAGAATACTGTAGCCTGTAGTTGGCATTAAAGAAAAACAATCTCGCAATGGCTCAGTGGTAAACTGTGTTGGTCAGCACCCTGAGCTGGGTCTCACGGCTGGGTCTGCGGACGTTGGATTTTCTCTGATTGGACAGTCATGCAAACAGGGAGCAATGTCAGGACAACGTGAATCGTGCTTTGATAACGACGTGCGTGTGTGCGCGTGTGCGTGTGTATGTGTGTGCGTGTGTACGTGTGCAGGTTCAGTGAGGACAGCATGGAGGTGATGGAGAGGCTGATATATCTGTTCCGCAAGTTCCACCAACTGAAGATCAGCAGTGAAGAGTACGTCTGCATGAAGGCCGTCAACTTCCTCAACCAAGGTACTGAAGGGCCAGAGGGCCTAATGCTGTGGCTTTTAGTGTCAGTGCTGAAGTTAAGGCGGTCGGTGAAAAAGACGCGGCTCAGTGAGACGGAGAAAGCGCAGGATCACGAAGTTGGTGAATGACGTCACCCCCGCGCATACGGAAACCCGCGGCAGAGCCTCTCTGCTGTAGAGGGCATCGAGACGGCAGCTCCGCGGTGCTTCAGAAACAGCCAGAAATGACAGAGAGATTTTTATTTATGGGAAAATTTCATTATTAAAAAATAAAACCAATAAAATGAAATAATAATAATTGCACTTTACAATAAGGCTCCCTTTTTGTAAATGGTAGTAACTCATTAATAAAAAGAAAAGTGTTGTAACTTGTTTATAATTGTCTTTTAATGATTTACAAAGTGTTACAGCCTAATTAATAACCTTATTATAAACCAATCACAGACCCTTTATAAGGGCAGTCTTATTGTAAAGTGGTATAATAAAAATATTTAATAATAATAGTAATAATACAAGCAGTACCCAAATGACATAATCAGTCTCACGAACCCTTATGTAAATTTTATGTAATCATATAAGCAAAAAATATACTGGAATACATACTAAACAGCAATATAAATAAATGTAGAGACATAGTGTAAATTTACTTACAAGTGCATGATGCCTTTAGCGTTTGCACCTCCATAAACTCAAATTATCTCAGATATTTTGGGTTTTACGTAAGGTGAGAGCTTCTTGTAAATTCATACAGCGCTTTTCAAAACACAAACATGCTGACGATATTCACAAACACGCTGCATGGCGTGGGAATAATAGCCACAGAAATGTATAATAAGTAAATGGGTAACCCTTCAAGATACAAATACTTAGTGATAACTCCTCTACTACTGTAGTACAAATCATGAAGAGATCATGAACAAATATAGTCCCTACTTGAGAAAAGATGCATCAGGATTCATTAATGATGAACAAAGGTGAGATCAGTATTTAACTTGTTATTCCTTACTTCTTCCTTCAGTAGTTCACAAAGGTTTACAGAAGTAACAGATATAGTAACAAACTGCTTCGGATAAAACATTTGTCACGATTCATTAATGATGAATTAACATGAGATCAGTATGTAACTAAGACTTAATTTGTGGTTAATTAATACATAATAGTATAATAGTATATTTGTGTCCCGTAAAATAAACTGTAAATGTACGTATGTATTTGTGCTGTGTGTGTGTGTGTGTGTGTGTGTGTGGTATATATGTCTGTGTACAAAGACACCGCCTTACATTATCCTCTGTCATTCCAACTTTGAACTGTAATATAACTAAAATGATTAAATAAAGTGCTGCCATTAAAGATGGGTCTCTCGACACCCGCCTCCACCCCAAAACAGATATTCGGGGGCTGACTAACGTATCCCAGCTGGAACAACTGAACAAGCGTTACTGGTACGTGTGCCAAGACTACACGGAGTACAAGTACCCGCACCAGCCCAAGCGGTTCCCGGAAATCATGATGTGTTTGCCGGAGATCCGCTGCATTGCAGGTGAGTCACACAGGGACCCTTCCCCGTCCTCGGCTTAACCGCACACGGGCACCCCCCCTATCTTTAGCTTATCCGCACACGGACGCCCCGGCGTTCCTGGATTCAGCTCCTGTCTCTCTTCTGTGTCACAGGGAAGCTGGTGAGTGTCCCCCTGGAACAGCTCCCCCTGCTGTTCAAAGCTGTTCTGCACTCCTGCAAGTCCAGCTTGAATAGCTACAGGACAGGGAGCTCCCCCTGCATCACCACAGGCTCCGCCCCTGGGAACTAAGCCACGCCCACCGAGTCCGCTTAGCGAGGGACCAGAGGGGGACTGCACCCCCCTTTTTGTGAATGTGACAAGCAGCTATTTTAAGCTATTTTCTCTTTATATTTATTTCACGACAGAGCTGAATGTATGACGACCTACGCAATGCACACGCTTCTGTACAAACTACTGCACAAAACGACGCCTCGGTCTTCACAGTTTACAAGTGTGTGTTTGATCGTTTAATGTAACCGCATTGCCATTTTAGGGCTAGCTTTTATAGATGTATTTTATTTCTTTCGTAATGCGGGGTTATTGCATCAGATGAATTATGTTTTATTGAAAGACTACCTCATTAACATATTTTTGTTATTCTAGGTACCATTTTTTTCCTTCTCTTGAAAATGTTCCCCAGTCTAAATTTTGTTATCGATATTCCTTTTTTCCCCCCCCTAAACCAAAAATTTGCCACGTCCAGCAGTGTTGCTCAACAGCTGCAGCTGTCACGAAAATTGCCGTGTTTCCCGATTAGGACAGTGTTAGATGTGCATTGCACCATGGGAAACGCTGGGCTGTTTTCTGAAAAGCGCGGGTTTGAATGTATTCAGGCAGCTTCTCTGAGATGCCGATCATAGGCTGGTTGCTCAGGCCATGACGAGCTTCGGTAACCAGCTAACCAGCTTCTTAACAGGTATTTTATTCTCGACTTCTGTGTGTCATCAGGAAGCTTTAAGAAGGAGAGAAATATATATACAATAGACTTAAGAGTTAGACTGAATCTTCTAATTTATTCAGTCTTTTAAATGGTTCATTATATTTTAGATATACTTAAAAGGCTATATATATATATATAAACATTGATAGATTTATTTTGTGTGTCAGGTTTGCCTCATAGTACAGCTGTATGCCGAGGTCTGGCTCCCAGGAAGGTTTGCCTGTCGTTTTTCTGCTGTCGGGCGGCTTGCTAATGCAAGAAAAAATTTATACGGGTATTTTCTACAATCCTGGACTGGGGAAAAGGGAGTGGGGGGAGAAAGAGAGTGAGGTGTGTTTTTATGTTTGCTTGTTTTTGTTTTTTTTCCTCTCCTTGCTTTTTGACCAAAGTGTAGGAATATTATGCAAGATGTTTTTGAGCGCCCTCTACAGGAGTGGTGGTGTAGGGCAGGCGTCCATGGCGTGCTGATGGCATGAGCCAGTCTGACAGAGATGCAGCTGGTGCCTAGCAGTCGGGGAGATGAACCTCTGGTGGGTGGGATTGCCCTGAGCCGCAGAGCTGGAGCCGGTGCCCCCCCAGGGGTCCAAACAGTGACTTTTACCTGCTGGTGAATCAGCTGCTTCCGGTTCCTGTCAGTTTTCTGTGACCTGAAATGCATTTCTGCCTGGTTATAAACAGGAAAATCCCCATAAGAAATATTGATTTGGTGGCAGGAAGCCCCTCAGACTGGATGGGTGCAATCCTTTCCAGTATTTTAGTGCTAAATTTGAGATTTCCATTTTGTAAAATCTGTCAGAGTTTGGATGTAGGTTGAGGAAGGGTCTGGAAACAAGACAGTTCTCTCCATGCCATGACCACACCCCCAGCTCTGCGCTTGCTCCCATTGGTTGCTCATTAGCTCATTGGAGCTCTCATTGGTCCTTTCTCAGGTCCTCTAGGACTTGTGTTAAAACAGGGTAAAGTGAATGTATTTTTATTGCATTCGGAAGTTACTCAGATGTCGCTATGCCGATTTTACATGTAGAGTTTGTAGCTGTAGGTTTTAGGATATTGTAGCTTGTTTCAGTAGGCACGTTCTTGTCTGTATTCCTTTGTTTTTATTTTTATTTTTGGGGGGGGGGAGGGAGTCTTTGGTTTGAAGGGTACATTTGATGATCTGGAATATCAAAACTCAGAAATTCAAACCAGGGAAAATTTGGATTTGGCTGATCCTTAATGGAACCATGTGGCTGTTGAAGGAGTGGATTCAGTGATGAATACTGCGGATGGTTTTCAGGCTGCACATCATCTCAGGACCCAGCAGAGGATGGGGTGCTACAGAGTGCCAGAGCGCCTCCCCAAGGATGAGCGCTGAATGGTCTCACCAGCCATTGTCTAAGCAAAGAACATTCCAGAAATGCTAAATGTACTTTTTAAAAAGAAAAAAAAATTAAAGTGTTTACAATTTGCACCAGACAATGACAAATGACAAGCGATACCAAAGGCTTGGCTTTACTGTGTTCGAGCTGTTTGTTCAAACCACGTTTGGCCTTTCCCCTCAGCGTGTCCCTGTCACACGCCCACGGCCGTCTGCCGGCATTTTTGGATTTTCAGCTGAAGTGGAGCCACAGAGCCTTAGATACTCATTTCTCTTTCGTTTTGTTTCATTGGCTTCAGCTCGAGTGTTTATCTTCCATTTATCCTAATGAATAGTTACTGCAAATATTTTGAATTTTCAGCGAGGGTTTATTTGAGATTTTTTCCCCACATCCTTAAAAGTGAAGGGTTTTTCTTTGTTTGTTTGTTTCTGCCTTGTTCCGAGTTCTTTCGGAGAGCCTGTCAGATGCCCACGATGGTCTCCTCTCCTCCCCCGATGGCGATACGGGGTGCCGGGTTGAGCCCTTCAGAGGTTACACCTTCAGCAGGTGGAATTCTAATGAAGGATGTGTTGGAGACCAGGTGTAATTGAGCTCAGGTCCAGATGGGGGGGGGGGGGGGCGCCGAACATGCACCGAACATGCACCGCACCCTCCAAAAAGCTCAGGGATCGACATGAGGCCTTGGGGAGGCCCGTGTCCAGAAGCGCATGTATGGGTAGCGGTGACCTCTGACCCTGCGAGGCCTAGGCTACGATGTTCTTTCACAAGCCGGTGCTCACAAATGTTTTCGTAGGTCTCCAGTGGTGAGTGATGTTCTGGACCTGTCCTATCTGCCTGAGATTTAGTACTACTGAGTGCTGCTTACACCCACGGTCCTGCCCGCCCGCCTGTTTGCTCATCTGGCCTTTCTGCCATGTCTTCGGAGATTTACGTTTGTTTTTCTAAATCGTGGAATGTATCTTCACCGTGGAGTTGTTTAGCAGTTGCAATTTCTACACAAATACTACCTCTACTGTGGCATCATGTCACACTGGGATATTATGGGATGTTGTTAATCTTATTTATTGTTTTGGGTTTTTCCCCACCTCTGTTACCTACTTTTCTGTGTCAAACACTTTTTTTTTCTTGCCATTTGATTCTCCGCAGTGGTACTTGATCGGAGTTTTCGGGCAACTCGGGCTCATTGTCTGTGAAGGGCTGTGTTTATTCTGCTTTTTATTATGTTTTTACTGTTTTATAAGCCAGTTTTTCCAAATTATTAAGCATATCTTGACCGCAGGTGTTTCAGCACCTTTTATAATCAATGCCGGCAGAGTGAGTATGGATCTAACCGCCAAAGGAATATGCTGAATTGAAGAGGCAGCCCTTTGTAGACAGAGAATGATAACGCTGATTTAAATTTCCGTTGCCTTGGATACAAACATCCACTACCTCGGGCTAAACTACAGGTGACGCTGATCACTGGTCCCCTCACCTGTCCTCTGAAATACGTTCCACCAAAATGATCCAGCAGACAAGCACATGTCTGGTCATATTCGCACCCTGAGGATTTTGATCATTTTTAAGCAATGGAGCGTTTCCACCTGACGATTCATTACTCATTTTTTAACCCACTTGTTTTCGTGACAGAGAACTTGAAACGCGTGTCTTTGAAGCCGCTGACAGTCATTATCCCATTGAGTGTAATGAACCACTCTGTTCTGTATGACTGACGTATAACTGCCTGTAAAGTCCTTTCAGTTGTGATGTAATTCTTGATCGATTTCCTTCTTTCATTTTTTAAAATATATTCCACAATGTTGCTGTGACACTTTTCAGCCAATCAGCTCTCTTTTTATTAACTGTTACGGGTACACTGATTGGTTGGTGAAAGACTATCAAAAGCAATGTTGATTGACCTGTATAAATAGCTGAGTAGGCTAGTGATGGAGCTGGAGACAGAACCGCTCCTACCGTAATCACTGTAATATCCTGGTGTGAAGGCTACAGAAGTGTTTGGTGTTCCTCTGAGTCTTCATTTACTCTGGATATAGCAGCAAATGCCTTGAGTCCAGTAATCATGGTCAGAGGAACAGGGAGGAAGCCAAGTCTTACTTGGTTGTCTCATGTATACCTTTTTCATGTGGGGGTTGGGGACATGTGGAGGCAACCCTCCAAATCACACCCATATGTCATCATTTCATCTGAGGTTCAAGCTTCCGGACCCTGTCTTGTAGTCAATGAGCGGAAACTTGACTGGAGTGAATCTCACTGCTCGCCGCTTGAGGCTGACACCTGCCCCGCGGTTACGTCCTCTCCCACGTTCTTCCTGAAAAATCACAGCTTTCTGTTGAAGTTCTCGTCCGCTCTGTTACTTTTACTACCTGTGGAAAAATGTGACCTATAAAGTGAAGAAAAGCATGTTTAGAAAATGTTAGGACTTGAAACTAAATAAATGTGAATCTTATGCAACTGTGACGTATCAGCCATTCCGTGTGTGTTTTTTCTTGCCTGTAAAGGCTGATTAATACTCCTGCGTCAAATTGACTTCATAAATACGACGTGGCTGTGGACCTTTACCCCATGGCCTGATGTGCACCACCCCAGATGTGACTACATGTCGTGGCGACGCAGACTGCAGGAACTGTGATGTCTGCTTTGTGGCATTCCTTTTTCTGTTTTTTTTTATGGAAGTGAAGAAAGCATACATCCTTGGTGTACTTATACCACTGACTGAAACTGCTTTAAGCACTATTTATATCTAGCATTAAATAACACAGCCTATCATATCATATCATATCATATCATATCAACAGGTCTACAAAACAGTCAGGATGCCAGCGCCAAATTCACTGACCTCTTTAAGCTTATTCATACTTTGAAGACATAAAAAGTAGAATAGACACTAACTTCACATAGGAAAATCCTTAAAGTGACTTTGTAACAGCTCGACATTTATCCCAAATTTGTCTGTGGGAAGTTTGGAGTGACACAAATATAACCAGGACTCGATAAAAGGAAACTTTGTTAAAGGTTTGGTTTTTCTTCTCATTCAAATAGGTGATTCATCAATTGAATATGTTACAGGGTGGGAAGACAATAAATGCAACATCCAAACGGACTTTTCACCTTTGGCTTTGTCGGTGTAATTGCCGAGTGACACAGACAAACCGGCGCACAAGTATGAACGCTTGCAACGGCGTAGGCTCGACGCAGAAGTGTAAATCAGCCTTAAGTCTTGTCGAGTCAACATTTATGTTGGAGATAATGTCACTTTGATGTGACAGTTACACTGTTGTTGGTGTTTTGGATGAAAATGAATATGGTAACGGTTCCATGCCTATGCAGACACGTTCGGGGTGAGGTAAATCACAGCGTTATCTCCCGGCACTATCTCAGCGCTTGTTGTTTATCAGGATAAGGGAATGCAGGACCTTTGCGTCTTG